TCGGCCAGGCCGAGCTTGACAAATGCACGGTCTCCAGTTCCTGCCCCGGACCACCGCAGGCGCGCCGGCTGGGCCGTGGGGGCTCCGCAGCGTGGCGGAGGCCGGAGAGGGCAGAGCCAGACCTCCCCCGCGGCGGCCAGCTGCCCCCAACCTGCACCCAGGGCGGTGTGTCGTCCGCGGGCACACTGGGGTGGTCAGGCTGGAGTTGGACACCGTCACTGGTGCCTCTTGGTCACTGAGTGGGTGCTGACGCTTTGCTTATCTTGTTAACAATTTATTTATGTGACCAGGGCCCTCGGCCCTCGGGCGGCAGCTGGGGAATAGAACTGCCCTTCGGAGTCAGAGGACCAGTGGCGAGTGCCGCTCGCCCGTGGCCGGGCTGAGAGTCCAGCTGGAACTCCAGGGGCTGGAGGCCCTGAGGGCAGCTGGAGGGGCCATCAGGGGTAGGAAGGACCCCTGCGTCCTCCTGTCTGTCCCCGTGGGCCTGGGGCCAGGGACCATCGCCCGTTTGAAGTGCCTGGAGTGGCTTCTGTTTTCCTGGCAGGGTTTTCTTTTTCCTTTTCATTTTGAAACAATCGCTAGAGGAGAGGAAGTTGCAGAGATTGCACGGGGAGGCCCAGCGTGTGTGGTGCTCAGCTTCCCCCCACGTGGCCCCCGGGACCTGCCACGGGCTCTGCGTGTGCGTGGCCCCTGCCGTCTCATCCCGTGTGCAGGTTCGCGCCGCCCCCACTGCCACCAGTGTGCAAACTGCTCCCCGGCCCCGCCCCCAGCCTGTTCTCCCGTCTGCTTCGCTCGGTCCGCAGCCACTTACGCCGAACTCTTTAAAGCCAACACCATGTCTTTGAGACCCCCCAGGTGGCTGCCTGTAACAGCAGGCTCTCCCTTCTGGGTGACGGCATTGTCCTCAGCCTCAGCACCACAGCTGGCCTGGCCGTCCCTCGAGGACGCCCGGCTCTGGGCCAGCAGAAGGCGGCCGCGAGCGTCTGCACGGGTCTCTCTGAGGACGGGGTCTCCGGTGCCGTGGGGTGGGTGCCCAGGGGTGTCACACGCGTGCGTGGGGTTTGTTCGGGGGCCACGGGGCTGCCGGATCGTCCCTGGCAGCGGCCGCCCCCGTTCGCACGTCCGGCCGGGCGATGCCCACTACGGACCTCGGGTGACAGACCGGGTGTGGCTTCTACGCCTTGGGCGTGAGTTTCTGCGTCTTCCAGAGTGTGCGAGGCAAACGTGTGTTTGTGATGTATATAGTTCATGATCAGAGAAAAGTAAATTCTGCAAAATTTGATAAAATGAGAAAATCCTCATGGAATCATGTTTTTAACATGAAGATACTGCAAGGTCTGTCTGTCCGATCTTCACTACAAAAAACATATGCACAGCCCAGGCTGGTGTAGCTCAGTGGACTGAGCGCAGGCTGCGAACCAAAGCATCACAGGTTCAATTCTCAGTCAGGGCACATGCCTGGGTCGCAGGCCACGGCCCCCAGCAACCGCACATTGGTGTTTCTCTCTCTCTCTCTCTCTCTCTCTCTCTCTCCCCCTTCCCTCTCTAAAAATAAATAAAATATTTTTAAAAAACCACACATGCACTCCCACTCACACACCGGTGCACACCCACTGTCTCACACACACACCCTCACACCCTCACACCCCCACTCAGGCCCATGCACTCCCACTCACACACAAGCACATTCTCTCTCACACTCACGCAGTCACACCCCCACATGCCCTCACACACCCACTCACACTCAGTCCCCCCCCCAGCCCCGCCCCAGACCAGGGGGAGGACAGCAGCCCCAGTGTCAGCGAGGACCAGCACAGACCATGGGGACTGGGGCCAGTGTCCACCTCCGGTGCTGCCGAGACACATCACCGCGAATGTGGCGACTGGAGCCACAGTAATTCCTTCTCTCGGCGTCTTGGAGGCCAGAAGTCTGAGCTCAAGGTGTCTGCACGGCCACTCCCTCCGGAGGCCCCGGGGAGGGTCCTTCCCGCCTCTCCTGGCTCCTGGGGGCCCCGGACATTGCTGGGCGGTGGCCGCACGATGCCCAGGCTCCGCCTCCCTCTCCTGAAGGTGGCCTCCTCCTCCCGCCCCCCCCCCTCTCCTCCTCCAAGTGCCTCCTGCGGACACTCACTGTTACATCAGGGGCCTCCCCGATAGTCCGGGGCGGCGTGGTGTCGCGGTGGTTCTGGGGCGAGACCGCACTCACAGGATTCCGCGGGCTGGGACGTGGACATACCTTGTTCGGGGCCCCCACTGAGCCTACGTGGGGGTGGCCCGGGACCCAGCTTTCCCTCACACTCTGCGGCTTTCTAAATCATCTACAATGATACTTTATTATTAGACCCAGTCAATAACGATAATCATGCTATTCATGAACAAGCCTTATAAAGATTAGTTATTCTTCCCACTCGAGAGAGAAACAGACAGGGAGAGGTGGTTGACGAGGAGGGGGACGGCCGGACCCTCCTGGGGGTGTGGAAGTCCCCGTCCCCGCCCCCACCCCAGCAGGGCCGCCTGAGTGAGCGGCTGTGTCAGCACGTCAGTCAGGGTGGCATCGTCACGCAGGCCCCCCCAGCGAGCGGGGGTCCCCGTGGCTCTGGCAGGCCGGGGACGGGACAGGAGACGCGGGACCGTGGGCGGCAGCGGCAGAGCCGTGGCTGCTGTTCCCCGAGCCCTGTCCAGGCTGCGCGGGGCGGGCCACCTTCTGCCCCTTGGGCCCCTCGGGGCGAGCTCCACATTGTCACCCCCACTCCACCAGTGAGGAAATGGCACCCTGCACCGCTGGGCCTGTTCCCCAGGATGCACAGCTGGGAGGGACAGAGCTGTGACCCGGACGGGGCACGTGGCTCAGGGACCGTTTCAGCGCAGACGTTGGCTGAATGTGGACTGGAAATCACATTCCTTTGGCTGTCCCAGGCGAATGCAGTGGTGCTCAATAAATGCACCTGGACCCCGTCTCCTCACAGGCATGGCGCGTGTCCAATGCGTTGCTGTGTCACCGGTGTCCTCCTCCGGGCTGGGCCCCGAGGAGGCCAGCAGGAACGTGGCTGCGGGGCAGGGTGGGTGGCCGTGGGGCTGAGCCCCAGCCCGGGGTGGGCCCCCGGGCACTGCTCGCTGGGTCTGCCCCCTGGGCCCGCTTCGTGCCGCCCTGGCCTCCGGTGCCCCAGCTGCACCGAGAGGCGGCCCTGCCGGACACCGCCACACTCTGCTGCTCGGGCGGTAGACGGAAAAGCCGGTTGTGTCCCCCGGGCCCCGGCCTCCGGGGAGTGGGAGGCAGCACCGAGCCCTCAGGTTCCCAGGCCCCTCCCCCCCCAGCCCCCCGACGGAGACCACAGGACCGCCGTCCACCCCTCTTCCTCCCAGAAAGAGTCCCAGGACCGCAGGTCTGGGAAGAGCTTTCATCCTGGCCTGGGAACGGCGGGCCTTGGGGACCAGGACATCCGCTGGGCGAGACGGTCACTGCAGTTGGACACGCACACACCACCCCCGCCCGGCTGCAGAGCCACTGCCCACGGGAGCAGGCCCCCACCACACACCGCGCACACGTGTGTGCAGGCCTCACGGTGCACAATGAACGCGTGTGTGCGGGCACCCCTTTCCACAGAGATCTCACACATGTGCACACATGCGCCACACGGTGCACATGTGTGTGCCCACACTGTACAAATGCCGGGTACCCACAACACACAGCGCGTGCGTGTGTGCATGCAGGCACCACACTTAACGTGCACACACTTAGAGTCGTGTGTGCACACGACTCTAAAGTAACTGTTAAAAGCTGTGCCCTCGAAGCCTGCTCAGAAACAGAGAGGCGGTCGACTCCAGAAAACACCAGCCAGCGCCCCACCGCCCGGGCCACCTCGGGGGGGCCCCCAGCTGCGACAGGAGGGGGGACAGGCCTGCCCCACTGCCACCTCCTGCCCCAGGCGCCCCACAGCCTGCGGGCTGTCCCCTCCTCCTTCACGGGGGGAGGCGTGGCGACCCCTTCCGCCTGTGAGCGACATCACACCGCCACGGCCCGTGCACACGGCTCCCTCCGGCTGCCCGCCGAGCGCGGGGAAGGAGACGGTGTGTCAGTGTCGCCGAGGCCCGGCGGGACGCACCTGCGGCCGGTGTCCCTTCATCGTTTCCTCCGGGCGAGCCCCCGGGGACCCCGCAGCAGCCCGCGTGACAGTCCGTCCCCGTGTGCGGTCCATCCGCTCTCCCGCCCCCGCTCCGGGGTCCCGCAGAGCACAGGGCGCTCCGGGCGGGGGTGGGGTGGGCACCTTGAAACTGCCCTTGGTTTTGTTCAAGCGACCCCACGAGTTTCCTCCCGGCCACCGAACCACACGGCTTGTATCTGAGCGAATGTGCCCCGGCCCAGTCCGTGGTGGAGAGCAGGGCCGGGGGGCTGGGGACGGGCCCCAGAGGCCCGGCCGCGTTCGTGGAAACCTTGGCCCACGATGCCATCCTTCTAGCGGATTCTGTGGGAGACCCCTCCCTGTGGCGGGAGGGTGCACGCTGCTCGTGGAACACGGTGCTGGGCTCCTGGCAAGGCCGAGGCGCTCCTGGTGCCTGGGGCGTGAGCCACCGAGGACGCCCTGCGTGCCCAGGCGCGGGGACCCGAGGGCGGGCCCGGGAGGCAGATGTGGGTCGGGAGCGTGAGGGTGTCAGGCCCCTGGCCACAGCTCGGACGCACCTGGAGGGCCTTGCACTGAGGGAGACGTGGGGTTCGAGAAAGAGCCTGCGGGGCAGCGTCTCCTACGCGTGGGACCCGAGAAGGCCGCACCCGTGGGAACCTGCTGGCGGGCGGGGGCCGGGGGTGGGCAGGCGTCGGTCCACGGGCACGGACGCCCAGGCGGAGGAAGTGGGGGTCGTTCCGGGGACGTTCGGGGGACATTCTGGGGACATGACGCACCGCGAGGGGTCACGGGAACGTAACAGCTGCTGAGGGGCAAATCTTCAATGTTGTCGGCACGAAACAGACGCGGTAATTATGTGACCAGACGGAGGTGGCAGCCATGGCGGAGACGGTGTTGCAAGACGGACACGTGTCGGACCGATGCGGCGTCCACCTCAAAGTCACTCAAGGCCCCAGGTCAGCTGCCCCGCAGCAACGCCGGTGGGGGTGGAGGGGGAGCACAGATAAAGCGTGAGCCGCGCCGGTCCTGCATCGGGGACACAGACAGTGTCCCAGCGGGAGGGGCCGCCTGGGCTGCGGAGGGGCCCCGGCGAAACGCAGGTTTGGTGTGTGACCAAGGGGGCTGGTTACAGTCCGGGCGGCGGCAGCCCAGGGAAACGCAGGTGACACCTGCCGCACGGGTCGCTGAGGGAAAGCCCAGGGCCCGAGTGAGTCCAGGGGCCACGCCTGGCCCTGCGGGCTGGGGAGGCGGGGCTGCACGGAGCGAGCTGAAAGATGAGGAAGAGGCTTCCGTGGAGGGCGGGGGGCGGAGGGCGGAGGAGAGGGAGGGCACCCGGGAGAGCCGGCTGGAGGGAGGGGAGACGGAGAGCTGCCTGCAAGGCGGGGAAGTAGGGGGCTGGGGGAGCCCCAGGAAGTGACAGGGACAGGCCTGGGCCGCACCCTGGCAGGCGGAGGAGCCCCTTCCGCACGCTTCCCCTGCAGAGGGGCCCGGGGAAGGGGCATGCCTCGGGGGTGAGGTCACGGGGCCACGGGGGAGGGGGAGTGCTGTGTCAGCAGGGAGCTGCCGCGGAGGCTGGGGTGACAGCGAGGCCACTCTGGCGTAGGGCACCGCGGCGGCCGCAGGGCCCGAGCTTCCTGCCCGTCGCGCTGGAAAATTACAGGGGCCCCGGCCACGCGCTGGGCGGGAGTGTGCCACAGGCTCCTCCCTCGTCGTCCCCCCCACACAACACTCGCCCCAAGCCGCCCCTGTGTCATGCCAGACAGCGTTCTCGTCCCAGGCCTCTCCCCGCAGCGTGGAAGGCCGGAGGGGCAGTGGGTCGGCAGCCCAGTGTGCCACCAGAGGGCCGAGCCCAGAGCTGGGCCCCGCTGGGCAGTGAGCTGACTGGGTCCCAAAAGGGTGGGGCTGGCCACTGTGTGGTGGCGGGCGGGGCCGGAGCTGAGCGGGGACAGTGGCCCCAGCTGGGCTGTGTCCCCAGTGGTGCCCAGCAGCGGGCTTGCCCTCTGGTGGCCCTTTTTCTCGTCTGGCCAGCCGGTCCCCTGGCAACGGCCGAGACAGTACACAAGAGAGCAGCAGCCACATGCGCCCATTCTCCGGAGAAGGAGACTGAGGACCAGGGTGGCGGAGCCCGAGCGCTGGGGGTGTGGAGCTGGCTAAGTACGTCCCAAAGCACCAGGCGTCAGCCGCACCGGGCCCCCTGCAGGGACAAGCAGCACCAACCACACGCATCCCTGGCAGGTGCCACCCAGCGTGCGCTGTGGCCCCCCAGTCCCGGATGTCCGGTGTGGCCAGGCTCCAGGGCACATGCGGCACCCGGGGAGGGGCTTCCCGGGCAGAGGGGGACGCGCAGGCTCTGGAGCGAGACAGAGCCGGGTGCGAATCCCAGCCGCGTGATCCTGGGTGAGTCCCCTCCCTTCTCTTAGCCTCAGGTCCCCACCTGTAAAATGGGGACCTTGTGCTGTGCGCCCAGCACACAGTAGGTGCTCTGTAAACAGTAGGTTGTGGACCCCACCACTGGCAGCTGACTTCTCCTGGTGCACCAAGTCCACTCCCAGGGTGTGGCTGGGCGCGGCCCCTGTACCCCCGTCTACACTGCAGGTAACCACAGGAATCCCAAGTCACACTGACTTCAACATCTTAGGGGATTTGCTGGCTCCATCGACTGAGTGCTGGGAATAGCAGCTTCAGGAACAGCACGATCCAGGTGCAGATCCCACCTACACGACCTTATAAATTCTCTGCTTCTTCATTTCCTCTCCCAGGGTCCACAGAGGGCTTCCGGTCACAGCTTTCCTGGCTCCCACACCCCAGGGAAAGAGTCTTTCTGGGCAGGAGGGGAAGACACTGCTCCAGCAAAGGTCTTGTATGCAATTGGCTCTCCTGGGTTAAAGGACGTACCACTAAACCAATCGCTGAGGGGGGGCGGGGGATAGGCTGATGGGCTCAGCCAATCAGAACTTGACTGGCTCTGGGTTCAGTGCCGCCTGAGTGTCATGACCAAGGACAGGAAACCAGGCCCCTGGTGATGGGGAGAGTGGGGAGCAGTTCTGGAAGGGCCCTGGGACCTGCCTCCAGAGCTGGACACTGCCACGGTGTGGGGGCTGCCCGGGGGTCTGCCCGGGGTCCGCGCGGAGAGGGGAGACGTGGGTGAGAGCCGCCGGCAGACGGCGGCGGTGGAAGGACGGAGCAGGCAGGCTTCCTCGGGGTGGGGGCAGGTGAAGGAGGGGCTCCCGCCCCCAGGGGGCGCAAGCACCTGGAAGACGCTCCTGGGGTGGGGCCTGCGGGCTCCTGGGGTGGGCCCCCCCCCGCGACTGAAAGGCTCACCTTTGTGACTGTGACCGTGGGACGCCAGCCTTCGACATTCCCACCCCCCCCCAACCGGGCTGGCTGTGTGACCTTGGGCGAATCTCGTCGCCTCTCTGAGCCGTGGCGTTCTTCCCTCTGCAGGGACGCAGTGGGGACGGCCCCGCCCCTGGGCTCGGAGAGTGCCCTGCAGACCCCGCCCGTGACCCCGGGTGGCCAGCGCGGCTGCCCTGGGGCAGCCCCCCCCCCCCCGCCCGGCTCTGGAGAGGACGGGGAGGGGCCTCGAGGAGCACAGACGCCGGCTCCTCCGGCCGGAGAGAGGCCCAGCCGCTCCCGGGAGAGCGAGCGAGCGGTCAGCAGGGGCAGGGCAGGCCACGCGGCCCGACGGGGTGAACGGGACCCGTCCTCCCTGTGTGGAGAGGCCATGCGGGTCCAGGAGGAGGCTGACGCCCAGCTTGGGCTGGGGATGGGCGGGGCGGGGTGATTCCCAAGAAGGGCGTGGGCCGCGGTCACTCACGGCTGCTGGCTGTTGTCTCAGGAGAACGAGAGGAGACCGGTCCCCCCTCCGCCGGCCGGTCGGCCCCCGCAGCGCCCCTTCCACCCACCAGGGCCCCTCATGTCCTGCGGGCTCTCTGCGTCCGGGCCTCGACACCTTCACTGCCTCCTGCTTTGGAGGGGGGCGGGGGGCTGGCAGGACGCATCCCCTACTGGCTGCAGGACTGAGGTCCCGTTTTCTTGCAGGCTGTCAGCTGGGGTCCCCCAGCTCCCACAAGTCACCCCCAGACCCTTGCCTCATTGTCAGGAGCCTACCAACAGCCGACCCTTGACACAGTGGGGTCAAGTGAGACGCATCCGCACAGCAGAGGGGACTGTGGCCGGGTCTCCTGTCTGTCCCCTCCTGTGTGCCTGTCCCTGCTAGCAGCAGGCAGTGGGGTTTTGGGACACCTGTGGGTTACAATAAAAAATCCGCACGATGCCTCTGATTCTGCGTGGAATGACTTGCTGAGCACAGAATGGAGACCCCCAGCAACCCTGGTGCTGCCTGCTTCCCCACCTGGGGAGTTAGGGACAAAAACTATGGGCAGACCAGCGGCCAGAGCGCTGGAGGAAGCTGTTGCTAGGAATGTTTCTTAAGGAGTCACCACTCAAAGGCGTAAGATTTATTAGAGCCACTACCCCTCCCATACCCTGGACAGGAATGTTTATTAATGGGACCAGGTGGGTAACGAAGCAGGGAGTTCCAGTTGAAAATAATAATCCCAATACATGGAAATGAACACAAAACACGCCCCCCCCCCCGAGATGTATAAATCAAAAGACCTAGGCAGGAAGCCAGTTACCTGACCGAAACAAATCTAACCTCAACGGACAATAGTTGATTTCTATATAACCTATACATCACCCCTTGCACCCTTTTAACTTAGACCAATCCCTAGAATCCTAATAGACACCTAGTGACTAATTGGCACCTGAAAGTTTGTGCCCGTATAGCTTCGTTGGCCATCTGATTGATGACCCTCTTGGTCAAAATAACCTTTGTTTAACATGGTTGATCTGTGGGACCTCCTGTACTTTTCGGTTATTTCTTAGTTTAACACGGTTGATCTGTAAAACCTTCTGTGTTTTTAGAAATTATTTCTGTGGTAACCGTTTCTGTTTTAATAGTCACACTATGTACTGAACGTTGTATCACCTCCCCTATAAAAATAAAGATTGATTTTTCTCGGTCAGTCAGTCGAGCCCAAAAGGCCTGGCTGTGCTCCGGCACCCCGCCGGGTGTCTCACTCCAGTCACTTCGCCTGAGCTGTGCATCCTTCGGGGACCCTGAGACTGCGCCGAGGCCGGACCCCGGCACCTTGTGGCCCCTTCACGGGCCCCTCCACAGGCCCCTCACACGTCTGAGTTCCCTCCACTCTGAGCCTCTGACTTCAGGAATGGCCCCGCCCTGTGCGGCGGCCTGGGGCCCGTCACCCCACCTCTCAGTACCTGGGCGACCGCACCTGCAACACAGGGGCCATAATAGCACCTGCTTCCCAGGGTCCCCGGAGCAGGGTGCGTGCTAGCTGCTGCTGGGCCTGCCTCCCCGCTCCTGCAGTCCAGGCCCGGGGCCGGGTGGGGTGGGGAGGGCGGCCCCCTGTCCGTGTGGGGTGCCGAGGGGCGGCTGCAGACACAGCGCATCCCACGTCACCACCCCGCCCCACCCCAGCCCGGAGCAGGGCCCACCCTCTGAGTCACCCACTCACGTCAGAGGACTGGTCTTATCGCAGACCGGGGTGGGGCCGGGGATGGCCTTCCAGGTCCCCAAAGTGAGGTAAGCTGTGGCCTCATCCGACGGGAAGCCCGGGCCTGGACAAGGGGCCAGTAAAAGTGCGGAGCCTGCCCCGGGCTTGGAGAGCGTGGCCTGAGGAGCAGGTGCGACCCCCTGTCCAGCTCCAGGCGGAGGTGGGGGTGCCCCTGGCGGGAGTGGGGGAGGTGAAGGCCCTGGTCCCCCCCCAGGTCCCGGCTGGACGGGCTCAGTTCCATTCCAAGCGCTGTAAGTGACACGGGCGCCAGCCCTGGGTTGACAGGACACCGCCTCTCCGAATCTGGAGGGGGTCGGGCGTGGCCCCGACAGGGCCACTCTTGACAGCCAGACCCCCTACCTGCCGCTGCAGGACCCTGAACCTTGCGGACAGCAGCCCCTGGGCCCAAGAACTCAGGGCGTTCCCCTGCAGGCCCTGCCCAAGGGCTCCAGTAGCCAGAGTCTGCAGGGGACACCCCTGGACACCACTGTGAGGCCGGCTGGTGGGAAACGCCTGGGCCCACGGGGTCCTCCAGCACCAGGCCAGGGGGCAGTGACTCAGTCCCCGGGGCACGCTGTGTCGGAGAGTCCCTCAGCGCAGCAGGGGGGTCCCCACAGATGGGGCTCTGAGGCCCCTCGTCCCCGCAGCCCTCGCTGCCCCTCCAGAGCCCCCTGGCCCTGCCGCGTGGTGTGGGCGGACCCCAGCCCATCCCGTGTGGGAGGGTCACGGGGCTCTCCGCCTGTGGTGGTCACGTGGGGAACTGGCGTGGGGAAGGCATTCTCATGAGAGAGTGAGGGAGGCCAGGTGTCCCCAACCTCAACAGCAGGCCCCTGCTCCTGAATCAGCTTCTAGGTCATTCCGCCAAGCTCGGACACTGCTGTCGAAGCAGGTGCTCCCTGCACCACCACCACCACCCCCCCGCCCCCGGGAACAGCAGAGTCTCCGGCTGACTCGCTGAGCTTCTGGGAGGATCCCCAGTCCGTCCTGCCCCCGGTCCCCACAGAGGAATCTCCCACGGGACTCCACATAGGAGGTGCCGTCAGGATGTCCCACATTCCTCTTCCTGAGGCTCCCTAAGGAGCCCTCCTCCCCTCCTGATAACGGGCATCATGCTGTTCTGAATCATTCGGCTTGTGTTCATCACACAGGCGTCCTGTTTCCCTTTTTGCCCTGGCTGCCAGGAGCCTCGGAGCGCCATTTATGGGCACACGCTGAAAGGCAGCATCTCGTGATAAGGATGTGTGTATTAACCTCACTCTGGCTTCTCGTTATGTCCCTACCACTCCATGCGGCCCTACTCTAGTTCTCGCCTCTCCTTTTTATCTTGTCCTTGTTGGTGAGAGCCGTGACTATTTGGGGGGGGGGGGTGACAGGGGGAGTGGACACGAGCAAGCGAGTGGTAAGTGTGTGTGAGTGGCACCAGCCTCCCAGCGCTGGTGGGAGAAGGGGCTGTGATAACACGCAAGAGAGGGCCGGGCGCGGTGCCCAGACGCACTAGCGGCCCCCGCGTCCCCGCAGGTCCTGACTGGAGGAGCAGCCTCCACCCTCGAGAGAGCATCACCTGGGCGCACGCGGGGCTCCAAGGACAGCTCACCCACTTGAGGTGCAGATCCCAGGCAGAAGCCCCTGCTGGGCCCGGCTGGCAGAGCCAGCAGCAGGGACGAGAGGGAGCAGCAGGGGGCGCTGCTTCCCCTGGATCCCTCACCTGCCCTGGTTCTGGAACCCGACTCCCTTTCTGGAGCCACACAGAGCACTCCCGGGCCTCGGGCCAGCGCACGCTCACTGCACCCCTTCGAGCGACAGCCCCGGCCGGGAATAACAAAGGGGACGACTCCAGGGGGGGCTGCTCCAGGCTCCAGGTGGGAAGGGAAGCTCCGGGGTGTCCCTTCCCTCGGCCCCGGCTTCCGCTCTGTCTGAGGAGCAAATGTCCCCTTTGCAGGGCGCCGGCGAAGAGCAGGCCAGAGCCTGGACCTGACGGGCAGGACTTGACCCAGGCCTGAGTCCCAGCCTGCCCCCTGCGGCGGCCCTCACTGTCAGGAGCCCCCCAACCCCGGCCCCAGGGATCGCAGCCCCCACCCGCCAGGGGCCAGGACCTGTGAGCGAATGGCGCATGCAGGGCCCCCCCCAAACCGCGCAGGGCCCACAAAGCGGCAGGTGCTGTCGGTGCTGAGCGAGACAGGGCTTGCGAGCTCTGGTCGGCAGCGGCAGCCAGCCCTGGCGCCCCTCTAGACTCGGTTTCCCTGTCTACGCGAGAAAGGTTTAGGAGAAGTGTGACCTCGGCACCCTGTCGTTTAGGGCGATTCCAAGGAAAGGCCCGAGAACCCCCCCCACCCCCCCCACCCCCCACAACGTCTCCAAAGCAAAATGCACTTCCGGGTTCCCGACACAGAAACCCAGGTCCTACTGCCCTTCGTCTGGGGGAGGCCCCAGCCCGCTCCGCGCCCCACCTGCCTGCGGCCACCATGCTCACGGCCACGCCGCTCCGTGGGGGCTCACACCTGGGCCTCCAACACACCCGTCTGATTCCTCGGCAGGCACTCCCCGGCCTTCAAGGGCCCCGCGGCCCTCCAACTAGGACCCCTCGCTCCCTCAGCTCTCGCCCCCTCCTCCGAGCCCAAGGTGACTAACCCGTGTGCCCATGAACTTGGAAGAAGACAAGCATCTCGATTCTCACCAGCATCTCCCCTCGACGCTTCCTTCAGTGGCGAAGCAGCTCTGAGCCACAGTGCACCCTCGGCCCTGTCCCCCGGGGAGAGCACGGGTGTCCCCGCGCCACCCTGTGGTCGCCAGGGCAGCCCCGACACCCTTCTGCTCCCTGCGACCCCGCCGGCAGCCCGGGGTCGCTGACAACGTGTTCAGAGAAATCCAGGGGCTGGCACGTCGCGGGTGCGTTTGTTGTTTTACCAAGCGCATTCCAATGTCATTGTTTCCCTTGGTGAGGCTGTGTGGGTTTGCCAGGTGCATTTAAAAAAACACCATTCTGAGCCGGGCTCCCCAGACTCCACCGGGGGCCCAGGGGCTGCCACGGGGCCTGCTCTCATTCGCTTCTGCCTCTGGAGCCTTTGGCTGGGCCATCGCCCAGCTCCTGGCAGTGGCCTCGCGTCCTTGTCACCAGGTTCTGGGCCCCTCCGGGCAAGGGGCTGCGTCTCAAGTGGCCCTTCAGGGGCTGTGGGCAGAATAAGGAGAATGGAACGGCTTCCGGTGTCTGTGAGCCGTGTGCCCAGCCTGAGTGCTTGCCGGCACTGCACCCCACCGTCTGCGCTGTGGGGTCCGCCCTGCCCGGTGTGAGATGGCAAAGAAGGGAACAGAGGCACAGAGCTGGGGGTCCCGGACTGACCGTCTGGAGCCTGGGAGCGGGCAGCCTCTGGGCTCTTAGGACAGGGGAGTCAGCACAGGGGGCAGGCGCTTCCTGAGGCTTTGTCCCTGATGCAGGTGGGGGCCAGGGGGACCTCCATCACCGCTGATGTGGGTTGCTTAGGCCCGGTGTGAGGAGGCCTGGGGACCGTTGGGGGGCAAAGTGGGAGGGACCGGCTGGGGAGGAGGAGCTGGAGGGTCCGGACTTGTCCATTTCTGTGGGGAGGGGGAGCAGCTCAGGCCGCTGGAACCCTAGACGCCCACACGCCCCAGGCAGGGACTCCAGCGGAGCCGGAGGCCCGCGCCCTGGTGGCTCCCCCTCCCC